AGAGATGGGCGATGTGGACATCAGTTTTGATCAACACTTTTTCGGATTCACACAGCTGTATACACCAAAGTCAGGCGCGTCGGTGACCGCAGAGTACGTAGCTTTTCGTCGATGGTGTACCCTGCTCCTGCTACTCCCCACGCCCTCCTTTTTTTTTTTTTTTTTTTTATAAAAAAAAAAAAAAAATATGCTAATGATCTACTGAGTCATAGTATCATCGCAATCACCGGCCTCGATGGACATGCATATGGCTTATGGAGGGGTAAGGGTAACCTTGGGCGGATGTGGTTATGCGAATTCCTGTCTAAAGACCTGCTATGCTGCTGCATGATGATCTATGGCTATAACTCGAAGCTGTCGAGCTATGGGATTGACACGATTATAGACTATGGCCGGGAGCTGATAGAGGAGCTTAAGAAGATCCGGAATACAGAGGAGGTGAGCGCCTGCTACAACATGCTGTCACGGAAGTACAAGAATAAGGCTGACGGGTTATAATATTCTAGCTAAGACAGCGGCCGCTCTTCTTCATCGCACATAGCTTTGGTGGTATTTTACTTGCATATGTAGGTTGTCTGTTGTTTAGCTATATATCAAAGGCTAAGGCAGCAGCATAGTGCCTTGTCAAGGCGGTGCAGACAAACGAAGACAATCATCCAACGATAGCAACCCTCCACAGGGCTACATATGGCATGCTTCTGTTTGGTATCCTACACAAAGGGCTGGTGGTAGATAATATCTAGAAGATACTGGCTGGTTAAGGCAACTATCCGCGGAATGCGCTACTTTAGTAAATCAGAGAGAAGTCTGACTTGCTGGCGTTTTAGCTGGCTAATTTCAAGAATCTTATCTAAGACCGGAAGATTGTGAGCTTTTTCGAGATATCATAAACTAGGCAGCTTAAGTTTGTATGATAATCTGGTATAAATGACACTGTACGCGATGGCTGATGGTAAACAGGATAGTAAAAGCAAACGCTGGAAAAGGACTGGCGACTTTGTTATAACGGTGGATACTGACTCGGCTCTTCTCCAGCTCCTGGACTTAATAGAGGAAAAGATCCCTCTAGACTCTAATTACTCGATAATAGTAAAGTTTAATAATAAGAATAATCGAGGCTATACTAATGCGCGGGATAAGCTTAGACAATTTAAGCAGGATGCTGTTAGCGTGGTTGCGGCTTGTTTCTGTATGTAGCCTGAGTACTTCTTATTTATGATGTGCAAAGCGGGGAATGCCTTTATTCAGTCATTATTGCGTCCTAATTTCAGCTAACACTGGCTTCCAGTGCGAGAACGAAACGGACCCAAGCCGAGCATTATGATCCCATTCGAGAGGGATAGCGCGTTTGTGGGCCGAGAGGATATCATTGCAAAAATAATTGAGAAGCATGAACAAGCAGCTGCCGACCATCACAGCCGGGTAGCCCTCGTCGGTTTAGGAGGAGTGGGGTAAGCATTACTGCACACGATCTAGTGGGTTGTCCTGCTCATGTACCTCCCAGGAAGTCCCAGATTGCTATCGAGTATGCCTACAGAGTCAGGAAGTCTGTACCACAAACTTGGGTATTCTGGGTCTATGCGGCAAATGCTGCCCGATTCGAGCAAGCCTACAGAGATATCGCTAACAAGGCCGAAATCCCTGGATATGAGGATCTAAAGGCTGATATTCTCTAACTCGTATATAACTGGCTTAGCGATGAGAGAAATGGCCGATGGCTCGTGGTCCTCGACAATGCTGATGACGACGAAAACTTCTTTAGGCACACGAGGCCGCTTGAAAGATTCCTCGCTTAAGCGCCGAATGGAAGGATCCTTATCACCTTAAGGAACGGAACTGCGGCAAGGAATCTCGTCGGGCCACACGGCAGCATCGTCTAGGTGGAGCCGATGGATGAGGAGGACGCGCTAGCACTGCTCAACACTAGATTGCCATTTAGCGAGCCCGACAAAACTGATGCGAAGATGCTTGTCCAGGCTCTAGAACGCATACCTCTCGCAATCACCCACGCTGCGGCATACATCCAGACAAGAGCACCTACGACAACTATATCGCACTATCTCGAGCTGTTCCGCGACAGCGAGGCAAATCAGGTGCGTCTCCTAGGGAAGGAGGGGTTAAAAGACCTTCGGCGAGATAACAGCATATGATATCCAGTTATCGTGACGTGGCAGATCTCGTTCATCCAGATCCAGAAGACGGAGCAGATAGCGGTAGATTTGCTTGTATTGATGAGCATGTTCGATAGACAGGGGATTCTAATATCCTTGCTGCGAAACGGCACCAGTTAACTACAGTTTGACGATGCTCTGGCGCCATTGCAAAGCTTCGCCCTTGTACGGCTAGAGATTGGAAAACAGTCGTTTGAAATGCACCGTCTAGTGCAGCTATCAATGAGAAAGTGGCTTGAGGCCGACAAGCAACTAGATAAATGGACGAAGGAGTCGATAAGAGTTCTAACTGCGGCATTCCCTAGCGGAGAATATCCTATATGGGTGGACTGCCAAGTACTCTTTCCCCATGCAAGAGAAACTCTTGGCCATGCAGCAGGTGATAAGGAGGATATGTTAAATTAGGCAGAGATAGCCTACAGAGCAGGCCAATTCCTGTTGCTTAGAGGCGAGTACAGTACTGCGGAGGAAGTTGTCCGAATGTCTGTAGAAGCAAGAGAGAAGGTCCTGGGGCCAAAGCACCTATTTACGCTCACCAGCGTCAGCCGCCTTGGGTTGGTGTTGGAAAGCCAGGCTAAATATGAAGAGGCGGAGATAATGTGTTGGCGAGCGCTGAAAGAATTAGAGAAGGTGCTAGGGCCAGAG